TTAAAGGTGGACATCATGCAGCCATCCAAAGCCTCTCTGTGTGAGGAAACTTTGCTGCATGCAGACCTGGTGAAGTGGCTCTGGACAGAACTATTTCCACAGTGTAGCCGGTGCAGCTCAGCAGAGTCCTACTAATGATGATCCTACAAGTCCTGCAGTCCTGTGAAGCAAGCTGCAGCAAATGTCATCGCATTCAGATCATCAGTTCATCCTCACTGCAGCTTTGAACTTTCCCTGAGGTAACGGTGTATTTCCTTGCCCCATAACAATAACCATCTTTGACCAACATAGAAAAGCACAGAATTACTGTTAGCACAGGATTTTTGTATTGATTACAGAGTCAAAGTGAAGGGGATTTTTTTTTTTTTTTTTTCAGACGTCTCTTCCTCCTACCTCTGACTCCAGTGATGCTGTCAATTCGAACACTGATAACTGCACACAGCGATTCTACAACCACAGGTCAAAGGTCAAAACATTACCTCACTTTAAACCTTCACTCTGAACTGTACTGGGCTCTGCTTTTGATTTTGAAAAAAAGTGCCCAGACAGAACACAGTACTTAGCGAGGAACTGACTGATTGTCTTCAGGACAGGACAACTATTACTCTTATAATCGTGGTTACTACATTGTGTGATTTGTTGTATCTGTTGATAGTTTAAGTTTCCTTTTTGTTTCTTTGACTTAATTTTTTTAATTTTATTTTAGTGTTTCCTTTCCCTTTTACCATGTATCCGTCCTTGTATCAAAAGATGACAGACACTGATGAAGGGAAGAAATACCAGTTACTTCAGTTGTTGCAGGCAGCTGAATTTCTCAAGTTTTAATATGCTCGCCATATGCCTCCAATTTACCTACAAGAGAGGACATGCTTTTAGAAAAAAAATTGTGTACTTTGGGTTTCAGCTGGTAGGTACACTGAAGGTTTTTCACATGTGTTTAGTCTTGGGCTAATGTTTTGGACATCAGAGATCTAAGCATTACAGTGTCAAACAATGCTTGCTGAAGGTTTGTCTTCACAATGCTAAAACACAGGGCTTGGTTAAATGAGCTGTGTGAAATGATTTCGTAGAAGAACAAAGTTTTTATGCTTATCCTTAAAATGTAATTCTCCAAAGTCGATAATTTTTTAAGCAGAAACTATCAACATGAAGACAACCCAGCATTTCAGTAAGACCGAGTAGTCTGAATGTTTGGATAAGAAAACACTGGGAACTAAAATGCTGACCAGACTGTCAGTCCACTACAATGAGCTGATGAAGGTGTTAGCCCTGGTTTAACTACTGTGAAAAGCCTTTTGGTGGTAAGGTGGACATATACATTACATGAATTTATTATAAGTTCTCAAATCTATTCATCAATGAAATCATTTTAGATTTTTTATAAACTTTCATTTCATTTCTTTTTTATTTATTTATATATTTATTTATTTATTTCATACACCAAAGGGCCAACGCTTCACTGCAATTGGCTTTACAAATACAACTAGAAAAGCACTTGGAGAGCGCAGACCTCCTCCAAGCAGCTCATGTCCCCCCTTATATTGTGATTCACACCAAAACTCTTACTGTTACGTGTCTTTTATTAACTTTGATTTGTGTTTAAACTGGTATGTTCACTGTTCATAATGTTCCTAAAACAACAAAGCTCATATTACATACATAAATGCATGATTTATTATGCAATATTTGTAAGCGTACGCTTCCTTGTATCTTCATTGGTTATCTTTCAGCATAAAAAAATTCCGACGACACCCTAATTTTCGTGTGTTCTGGATCACAGTATCCAGAATTTTGTCTGGATCAGGATCAACCTTTGACACCTCATAAAACTCATTGAGATCTTTTTGTGTAATTTTTTACTAAAGACTCTGGCCATTTTTATAGAGTTCAATGCAAAAATTCCAAAATTTGCCCTATCTCACAATGATAAAGAATCCTTCAAAAAATTCCTGGATCCAGAAGGCGATCCGGATCACCACCAAAATTTAATGGGATCCGCCTGGGGCTGAGACGCACCTCTGGTGAAAATTTCAGGTCAATCCGTCTGTAACTTTCTCCGTAAAGTTGCTAACAGACAAACAAACAAACAAACAAACAAACAAACCAACTCTACCAAAAACATAACCTGCTCGGTGGAGGTAATAATGCCATATTTCATTTATAAACCTTTCATCTTACCTTGCCTGTATATTTACACAAGTGTGGATGACTTTGTATTTTTGCATTAGCATTCTTTACCTTTCACATTATTTCACATTATTTTAAGGCTATTTCTGTATAATACTACTGCACTACACTGTACAGTAAACTGCGGAGTTATTTTTGCATACTATTCCTCATGTTCCACTCTATACTTTCTGTGTTTATGTTGTTATACTGTTGACAAATTGTAATAATTATGAATTATTTTTGTGATTTGTGTGTGTGTGTTTGTATTAAAGGTTTTTCAAATGTGAATCTGGTGTCTTCGGTATTTCACTAACCCTTCTGGTCGGTTGATTAGCTCTTTCAAAACAGGGTTGCAGTGAGCTAATGACCCGATTATTGACAAAAGGTTGCCAGCATTTCCCTGACCTAGAACTTCCCTGCGCCCCCTGAAATGCCAGGTTGCATGATGCCAGAGTAAGATGCACTCCACAACATGTCTCCACAACAAGGCTGCATTACGCACATTCCTCTCCATTTCGGATTCTATTGTGTCGTTGAGTTTCCACTGCTCGTAGACTATGCATGCAGCAAGATGTAGTTGCTTCTCAACTATGGCAGAAAAAATGTTTACAGTCCCTGATTCAGCTTTACCCTACATTGTTGTCATATGGGGCATTTCGGTTGGCAAAAAGCCAGCAAGGCTCACAGTAACAGCAGTCTAATTTGGGGGTATAGCACATCCAGCTGCAGGGAAGTTTCATCCCAACTTTAGTGGTAGAGGTGTAATAACTTTCCGGGAAAAACCCGATTGTCGTTATCACTCCCAAACGGATATTTGGGTCTGCATGGGCCCATCTTAAGGATGTATCTTTTAATGTCGGCGTCCTGGACGTTTTAAGCAAAATAGACCAGATGAGTCGGAGAACAATCCAGAGGAGGGTTTTCATCATCCACGGTCTGGGTGTCACCTGCAGCACAAGGAGACCTGGTGCTTTTATTTCCAATGTCCAGCGCGGGTAAGGAGAGGGGCTGCTGGTCAGGCACCAGGTCTGGCTCTACCCCGGAGCAGCCAGCAACTGCTGAGTCCCTAACATAACCGCTACACAGTTGGTTAATCTAAACAGCTGTATAATCTAGCACCACAACTGCCGAGAGGCCATTTTAGCACCATGGTCAGCACCATGGACTTTATCAATAATTTGCTCAAACCTGGGTCAGATCAAGGTCAAAACGTAAAGCAGACTAAACCAATGAGGTGGGAAACGAAAAACTCAAGGTCAATGACATTCAGTGATGAAGGACGCCACACACGATGCCACACAACACGTACTAATTTACTCGGTCAAGATGCAACCAAAACAAGATGAAATGTCATTATTATTGTTTTTAAGAATAAACGCCCCTAAGAAAGGGCTCAAACACTGCCATTCGTGTCCTCCCCTTTGGAATCTTGGGTTTGGTGAGGTACTCCCTAAGACAAAGTTTTGATTTCATCTTTAAGGATTTTGGATGTATTTTTCGGTGTCAGTCCTTTGTCCCTTACCGTACCAATGTCTGACCCACTGACCTACTTTTGCTTTTTGTGTTGTATTTTTTGTGGAAAAGAATGTTCGTCTTACCTGTGGGCTCAACCTCACACACACCAAATCCCTCTGTGCTGATTCAAGAGAGTGTGGATGCCCCCCACAGCACTTACCGCGACACTTGCTGAGGGGCCGCCTCCGGTCGCCACTGCATGGCCTTGCTGTCCTCGGTCATCTTGTAGACTACTTCACGAATTTTGCAATACGCCTCACCGGTGGCGTCTCCTCCATTGTTTATTTATTCACCGACTTGTTAATAATAACCCACACTAGAAGACCCTTAAGGATGCATGAGCTAAAGGTACGTCTGATTAGTCATTATCACATGATTTACCTGTTTTACCATGAGTTAGTGTACGGTTAAGGTATGGAAGAATTAAATCGGTCCAGGTTCTGTGAGTTATGATATAGTTAAGAAGTTTTTCCAGCATTGCTAATAAACTAATTGTAGCCTCCAAGCAGCATCGTAAGGCTTAATCATAGACTGTATATATTATGGACAACTTGGTTTCGCCTCCTGCCTGTGAAGCCAAAAAGCTCACAGTATTTCTGGGATTATTTTTCATTCCTGAAACCGGCGCTGGGCAGTAGCATTCTGCGCATTCGGCCGGAGATTCGCTGTGATGACGCTCGGCTCAAACAGCGTATCCCCTGGGTGAGTTACGCAACCCCTGAACGCCATTACGCTGTATCAAGTTTCAATCATAGAAACCATGAACACCCTAATAACTTTTAAAAACGGAGCTGTACAGAAAAAAAGAGGACTTGAGCACAAACCAGTCTTACTGTAACTACATGTCAACATCGCAAGCAGGGAGGAGAAAAATGTATGTTCTGTGTTATAAATTTCTGAAGTTTTTCCACAGCTCCAGAAGCTTTGCTGGCGGAGGTGGGATTTATGACCTATACTACAGCCCATCAACAGAGGGTGCTGTTCTCGGAGTGGCTTCACTCAGCAAGGAGGCAGACGCTGTCCGTTCTATATACAGTCTATGGACTTAACCTACCATCTCTTATCAACAAGTACTTGTATATAGATATGTATATAGATATGAAAAATGCTCAATTAATACTTTTTTTGCAGCAACCAAATTTATTTTTGTAACAAAAACATTCAACAATTTTTTATAACATACTGTGTTTCTGTTTGTGTGTGTTGAGTGTGTGTGTGTGTGTGTGTGTGTGTGTGTGTGTGTGTGTGTGTGTGTGTGTGTGTGTGTGTGTGAGAACAAACTAGTGGAACTATTTACATAACATTAAGATAACTATTTACATAGCTGCTTTAATTATCTTTTTCCCTTCCAATTCTGCCCTAAGTTTGAGTATCCCTTCTTGGATAGCTGCATCAAAAGATGGGTCCCATAAGCCTTCGTCTATCATCAAGGTCTCTCCACATGCCAGCAGGACCTGGAAAAAACCAGAAGACGCTGCCCCTTCACCGTCCTTGAGGACACCAGCCACCTCCAGCTCCTGATGACTCAGCTGCTTCTGTTGACAAAATAAGTAAACACAAGTAAGGAATCAGATCATTTGGTCACATCATATGTTGTTTTCTCTGTAATAACGGCCCAATACTGACTAATATTTAGGGTATTATTGTTCTGATTTCTTGATTCCTAAGGTCTGGCAGTAATCAGGTCTGGGTGTTCATTGTTAAATTTAAGTCAGCTTGCAACTGTATGTGGGGTTTTCTTTCTTTAACATAAGGGTGTTAACAATTCTGTCCATGTGTCTAGGTCTTTACATTAATTCAATTATTAAACCTTTATGGTGATTCTGTAAACTACCAATTGTGAAGAGGACAAATGAGAGTTATATATTTAAAAAAAAATTATGTCAAACTGAAAACAGTGACAACAGCAAATTACCTCAATTTTGGTGAAGTTTGTGGAGTTCACCTGTACCCCATACTCCGTGTTGCTGGCCCTGACGTGGGTCACTCGTACCATTTCCCCAATTGCAAGGGGCTCCACCGCTGCCTCCCTCCACAGGGACACGGTGATCGTGCTCTTTTCCTGTAAAACATAAGGGAACACCTTACTGTCTGAATTCACTATGCATGTGACACTACAAATACTACTGGCTCTTGTCTCATTTAAATCAGAGGGGCTGAGCACATGCATGGTGCTAAAATAAACAATAATGTATGAGAAATCAGGCTGATCAGGCACTGTAATTCAGCATCTTTGTATGGTCTATTGACACACTACTATACTTTCAAGTGTGAGAAACACCTCCTGCAGGATGATCTTTTTTAGAGGCACAGCCTCCTTCCCGGCTCCCTTCCCAGCCTCCACCTTCCTGACTCCTGAAAGCTGAACAGGAGAAAATTCATCATTTAGTTATATATATATATATATATATATATATATATATATAAAATTGGCTCCTCTACTACTCTGTCACTACAAAAAAAATTTAATGCACCTAAATCGATTTTACTACCGATCATTGACATGGCCCAGACTCTAATTATTTAAAAAAAAAAATCCATCTAGGTCATTTCATATAGTAAATATGGCAATTTTGTGTGTTTTACCCATAGACTGTATATAAGATGGACACCCTGGTTCCGCCTTCCGCCTGTATACGGATTTGAAGCCAAAAAGCTCTCGGTAATTCCGGGTTTTTCTCCACTTCCTTGAAACCAGAGCTGCGCAGTAGCGATGCGCGCATTCGGCCGCACAGTCGCCGAGAGTCCCTGTGATGACGCTCGGCTCAAACAGCGTATCCCCCCGGAAGAGCTACGCAATCCCTGAACGCCCATAGGCTGTACCAGGTGTCAATCATAGAAAACATGAAGCCCCTAATAACTTTTAAAAACGGAGCTGTAAAGAAAAAAAAGGACTTAGGCACAAACCAGTCTTACAATAACTACACGTCAACATCACAAGCAGGGGGGAGAAAAATTTATGTTCTGTGTAATAAATTTCTAAAGTTTGTCCACAGTCCCATAAGCTTTGCTGGCGGAGGCCGGATTTATGACCTGTACTGCAGCCCACCATCAGAGGGTGCTGTTCTCGGAGTGGCTTCACCCAGCGAGGAGGCAGACTCTGTCCATCTTATATACAGTCTGTGGTTTTACCATTAAAAATAGCAGTGACATGGTGCACAATAAGTGGCATAAAAAGGGTGTAACATTGATTTTGTTTTATTTATTATTGTTTTAATGGTGAGGGCTGAAGTTGTTTAAGAAATATGAGTTGAGAAAAGTTTTAAAATGTAAAAAAAAAAAAAGAAAAAGAAAAAAAAAAAGGGTTGTTTTATGAACACTTATCTGCATGTCCATTTTGGGGACACAGTAGGCTAGATGGAGCTTAAAAATGAACAGGAATCAAGGGTTAAAAATTGCCCAGATACATGGCTGCACCATAAAGGTTAATACTGACCTCTACAATCACTCCCTTAATCGTCATCAGGCCCTGCTGCTCCTGGCACTGACGGATCGTTGTCACTGGTGAGGCCGGGTGCAGCAGGGCCTCTGCTCTTGCTGCCAGATCCTCAGGGCACTTCAGTTTGCCGCCACGAAAAAACTGAGTCCCGGCACCGACGTTAATTTTATAGGGGGGGCACTTACCGAAAAGAGTGTGTCCCCTCATATAATAGGACTCTCCAACTGCCACTCTCCCTGCCATGGCCTCAAATAAAAGAACTTTGGTGACTGTTTCCCCATCGCTGATAACAGCTACCTTGTTATTTTTTATGCAGGTCGGGGTAGCATGGGCATCCTTGAAGTCCCAGGAGACCACTTTCGGTGAGTCTTCTATCTTTAAGAAGAGGATGTGCAGGGGCGGCAGCTTGCCCTGAGGATCTGGCCGAGACTCCAGCAGCCTTCTCAGTGCCATTCTAGAACAAAAAAGTTTGAAAATGTTCAGTATTAATCTGCAATGTTAAAAACACCCTTGATTGAGAAGTTGTCCGATCTTTTGACTGGTATAAACTCTATGTTCCCCATTCGTGTTACACACTAAGTACACCTGCGTGAAGCTGGCCCCCCACCCCACGCAAAATTCCGGGATAGTCTGCTTTGTTTGTGCTTCGTTTGTGCCGTTAAAATTTTCGTTTGTGCTGCTATGGTTTTTAAGTTGTTAAATATAGTTTTATAGGTCACCTAGAGGTCACCCAGCCCCCCATTTGTTCCGAATGGACCCAAAATGGTGCCGTTCGTTAGTGCTTCGTTTGTGCTGCTGTTGACAAAGAATCAAACTTTAAGGTTGGATGCATTTCTCGGCAATACTGATGCCTGTAATGTCTGTAAGTATGTGTTATTAGATTGCTCATCCAAATAAGTGTAAGTGAAGCTGCACACCTTTTTGTTTAGTTTTAACAATAACAAATTGTAATAAAAAATAATAGCTACGATATGCCTTGAACTTATTCAGTCCCCAAATATTGGTGTTAAAGTCCTCACGTTTTACATGCTCTCCTGTATGAGGCTCTCTGAAAATCTGTGCGTGCAATGCAGCACTATTTTGTCTGAGGCTGCCCTGAACGCATCACTCCGAGACGGTGAAAGACTATAAACGTAAATATTATATCTCAGGTTTGTTTCCCTCATTGACGTGTTAATTTTGCAACAAAAACTGGTTGAATAAAGTTTACAGTTTAAACCGACATCCCAAATTGTAAAGAAAAAGTATCTTTCCAGTGTCTGTGAGGCTCAGCAGAAACACAGGACAATCTTCAGTTGTCAAGAAACATGACAAATATAGTGATCCGATTTATGAATGAACGTGGGCCCCCAAACTACGGGGGATTCCTGGGAGAAATGACAGTACGGGAGGTGGGTGGGAGATAGGTCTGAAAACGAAAATTTTAACGGCACAAACGAAGCACTAACGAATGGGGGGGGGGGGGGGGCCTGGGTGACCTAAAAAACAGTATTTAATAACTTAAAATCCATAGCGGCACAAACGGAAATTTTAACGGCACAAACCAGCATAAACGAAGTACACTATTTTCCCGACATTTTGCGTGGGGTGGGGGACCAGCTTCACGCAGGTACTAAGTACTGATGACTGAAAGATACGAACTTGCTCTTCGTAAGATAACAACCTGTAAACTAATTTAAAACTATTGAAAAAAAAAAAAAATTATGATACTAAATAAGAGAGCTTCAAGTATTTCTCCACATTTGTTTCACTAATTAACATTTCGGCCTCCATCTTTGTGACTGACAAAAAAGCCACCTCTTCTGCTGCCTTCTCCTCCCCCATCTCCCGCTCTCCACCGCTTCTGCCGTCTCCCTCCACCTCCCTTCCTCTCTCATATATATATTGTTTTATTTAATAGTTTCAAGATGTTCACTATTCATCTACAATTTAAAACATGTAAGAGTAATACAAAATGTTCGAATGAGACATTGTCCAAACTTTTGACTGGTAGCCTACTGTGTGAAGTCTATGTTCCCGTTAATGTTTTAAGCTAGGCCACTCATAGAATGATAGAAACTTGCTCTCCCTGGAGGTATATGAACAAATAATACATGTAGAGTAATTTTAAACAGTATTATAATTATTATTGATTATTAAACAATTGTTTTACCAAAAATAACAATGGTTTTACTTACTTTTGTTGTCGTTTTCCTGTCTTGTCCGTTTCTTCTATCCCTTCAGGTCTCCGGTCTCCTTCTCGTCTCAAAAAAAGGGCTGTTCTCGCGCTCTCGTTTGAACTCACCAACGTCACTATCTGCTACGGGATTGGCTGTCACCATCTGCCACGGGATTGGCTGTCTGTCAACAGTGACGTTTCTGGAAGCTTGTTGCTATGATTGATTTATAGGCTGTGTTGGCTGAGCGAGACCGTGTTGGTTCGTTCCACTTCAGTGGGGCAACATAAACTGTGATTCATAAAATAGGTATATTATAGTAAGTGCTAAAAAAAAAAAAATCTACTCATGCCATCCTGTCGATTTTTAGTAATCAGTGTTTCGGTGTCGAACTATTTCCTTTCTGTGGCGTAGTGATACTTGCACACGCGCAATCGAATATGCAGAGGGGTGAAGCGATTTTTGTCACGTGGACCAATAGGAGCCGAGTCTCGTTGCCATAGTATCAGAAATACACAAACATGGCGACGAGCGCATCTAGCTGCGAGACAAGCGAAGAGGAAGAAAAGAACAGGAAAAAAAGAAAACAGCCTTCAAAAGTGCTTAAAAAAGGAACAAAACAATGCTATATGCATCTACCATCTGTCCAGAGTGAAGACGTTCTCGACTTTACAAGGACACGTTGGAAAACTTACAGAACTAGTATTACAAAGTGGCTTTCTCTACAGGAAGAGACAAAAGACCAGCCAGAAATGTACATATACGTGAGTAGCACAAAAAAACGTTTATATGGTGCTGCTGTTTTTGCTTGTTGAAACTGCTATGTTGATTCTGGCAAGACAAAATCTTTCTCAAAGGTCATAAATACATCTACCTAACATCTGAAACAGTTATTGGTGCCTTAGTATACGCATACTTCTTCAAACCAATTGAACGTTAAGAGCGGAAGAACAGCTCAGACACTCAGGCCGCTGAACGCTTTAAAGGTGGACATCATGCAGCCATCCAAAGCCTCTCTGTGTGAGGAAACTTTGCTGCATGCAGACCTGGTGAAGTGGCTCTGGACAGAACTATTTCCACAGTGTAGCCGGTGCAGCTCAGCAGAGTCCTACTAATGATGATCCTACAAGTCCTGCAGTCCTGTGAAGCAAGCTGCAGCAAATGTCATCGCATTCAGATCATCAGTTCATCCTCACTGCAGCTTTGAACTTTCCCTGAGGTAACGGTGTATTTCCTTGCCCCATAACAATAACCATCTTTGACCAACATAGAAAAGCACAGTATTACTGTTAGCACAGGATTTTTGTATTGATTACTTACCTCACTTTAAACCTTCACTCTAAACTGTACTGGGCTCTGCTTTTGGTTTTGAACAAAAGTGCCAAAACAGAACAAAGTACTTAGCGAGGAACCGACTGATTGTCTTTATGTACTTTTATTTGTCTTTAAACTGGTATGTTCACTGTTCATAATGTTCTTAAAACAACAAAGCTCATATTACATTCATAAATGCATGATTTATTATGCAATATTTGTAAGCGTACGCTTCCTTGTATCTTCATTGGTTATCTTTCAGCATTGAAAATTCCGACGACACCCTTATTTTTGTGTGTTCTGGATCACAGTATCCGGAATTTTGTCTGGATCAGGATCAACCTTTGACACCTCATAAAACTCATTGAGATCCTTTTTGTGTAGTTTTTTACTAAAGACTCTGGCCATTTTTATAGAGTTCAATGCAAAAATTCCAAAATTTGCCCTATCTCACAATGATAAAGAATCCTTCAAAAAATTCCTGGATCCAGAGGGCGATTCGGATCACCACCAAAATTTAATGGGATCCTCCTGGGGCTGAGACGCACCTCTGGTGAAAATTTCAGGTCAATCCGTCTGTAACTTTCTCCGTAAAGTTGCTAACAGACAAACAAACAAACCAACGCTACCAAAAACATAACCATACCTGCTGGTGGAGGTAATAATGCCATATTTCATTTATAAACCTTTCATCTTACCTTGCCTGTATATTTACACAAGTGTGGATGACTTTGTATTTTTGCATTAGCATTCTTTACCTTACCCTTCACATTATTTTAAGGCTATTTCTGTATAATACTACTGCACTACACTGTACAGTAAACTGCGGAGTTATTTTTGCATACTATTCCTCATGTTCCACTCTATACTTTCTGTGTTTATGTTGTTATACTGTTGACAAATTGTAATAATTATTAATTATTTTTGTGATTTGTGTGTGTTTGTATTAAAGGTTTTTCCTCCAAGCAGCATCGTAAGGCTTAATCATAGACTGTATATATTATGGACAACTTGGTTTTGCCTCCCGCCTGTATACGGATTTGAAGCCAATAAGCGCTCAGTATTTCTGGGATTTTTCTTCATTTCCTGAAACCAGCGCTGCGCAGTAAAGTTGCGCGCATTCGGACTGAGAGTCACTGTGATGACGCTCAGCTCAAATAGCATATCCCCCGGGTGAGCTATGCAATCCCTGAATGCCAATACGCTGCATCAAGTTTCAATCATAGAAAATATGAAGACCCTAATAACTTTCAAAAATGGAGCTGTACAGAAAAAAAGAGGACTTGAGCACAAACTAGTCTTACTGTAACTACATGTCAACATCACAAGCAGGGAGGAGAAAAATGTATGTTCTGTGTTATAAATTTCTGAAATTTGTCCACAGCTCCAGAAGCTTTGCTGGCGGAGGTGGGATTTATGACCTATAGTGCAGCCCATCAACAGAGGGTGCTGTTCTCAAAGTGGCTTCACCCAGCGAGGAGGCAGATTCTGTCCATACTATATACAGTCTCTTATCAACAAGTACTTGTACAAACAAACAAAATATATTTTTTTTGTAAATATGAAAGAGTATATAGATATGAAAAATGCTCAAGTAATACTTTTTTGTAGCAAACACATTTATTTGTGAGAACCAAACAAACAAACTCAAATTTCTACAACAAATTGTGTTTCTGTGTGTGTGTGTGTGTGTGTGTGGGAGAGAACAAACTACTGGAACTATTTACATAACATTAAGATAACTATTTACATAACTGCTTTAATTATCTTTTTCCCTTCCACATCTGCCCTAACTTTGAGTATCCCTTCTTGGATAGCTGCATCAAAAGATGGGTCCCATAAGCCTTCGTCTATCATCAAGGTCTCTCCACATGCCAGCAGGACCTGGAAAAAACCAGAAGACGCTGCCCCTTCACCGTCCTTGAGGACACCAACCACCTCCAGCTCCTGATGACTCTGCTGCTTCTGTTGACAAAATAAGTAAACACAAGTAAGGAATCAGATCATTTGGTCACATCATATGTTGTTTTCTCTGTAATAACGGCCCAATACTGACTAATATTTAGGGTATTATTGTTCTGACTTCTTGATTCCTAAGGTCTGGCAGTAATCAGGTCTGGGTGTTCATTGTTAAATTTAAGTCAGCTTGCAACTGTATGTGGGGTTTTCTTTCTTTAACATAAGGGTGTTAACAATTCTGTCCATGTGTCTAGGTCTTTACATTAATTCAATTATTAAACCTTTATGGTGATTCTGTAAACTACCAATTGTGAAGAGGACAAATGAGAGTTATATATTTAAAAAAAAATTATGTCAAACTGAAAACAGTGACAACAGCAAATTAACTCAATTTTGGTGAAGCTTGTGGAGTTCACCTGTACCCCATACTCCGTGTTGCTGGCCCTGACGTGGGTCACTCGTACCATTTCCCCAATTGTAAGGGGCTCCACCGCTGCCTCCCTCCACAAGGACACGGTGATTGTGCTCTTTTCCTGTAAAACATAAGGGAACACCTTACTGTCTGAATTCACTATGCATGTGACACTACAAATACTACTGGCTCTTGTCTCATTTAAATCAGAGGGGCTGAGCACATGCATGGTGCTAAAATAAACAATAATGTATGAGAAATCAAGCTGATTAGGCACTGTAATTCAGCATCTTTGTATGGTCTATTGACACACTACTATACTTTCAAGTGTGAGAAACACCTACTGCAGGATGATCTTTTTTAGGAGGCACAGCCTCCTTCCCGGCTCCCTTCCCAGCCTCCACCTTCCTGACTGCTGAAAGCTGAACAGGAGAAAATTCATCATTAAGTTCAAATACATGTGTATGAAAATGTTAAGATTTTTTCTTATTTGATGAATTATAATTATTATGATGATAAATTGAAATGTGTTTTTCAGGTGCTCTGTTGATCGAGCCCACTGTATTTAGCGTATATTATCACCAATAGGTAAACAAGCAACTAGAATCAAAGAGTTTCTTTGCGAAGTTATTGTGTAGTCGGCAGACCCTTAATACTAATCTTATATCAGCTGTTTTTCTGTTTGCCAGTATGCATCCACCCGTTAATTAGCTATTGAGACAAAAATAAGACATATTTTTGGAAATATTACACCAGGAAAGCCCACCCATTGTTTGGGAAAGACCCAAAGAATCAAACTTTAAGGTTGGATGCATTTCTCGGCAATACTGATGCCTGTAATGTCTGCAAGTATGTGTTATTAGATTGCTCATCCAAATAAGTATAAGTGAAGCTGCACACCTTTTTGTTTAGTTTTAACAATAACAAATTGTAATAAAAAATAATAGCTACGATATGCCTTGAACTTATTCAGTCCCCAAATATTGGTGTTAAAGTCCTCATGTTTTACATGCTCTCCTGTATGAGGCTCTCTGAAAATCTGTGCGTGCAATGCAGCACTATTTTGTCTGAGGCTGCCCTGAACGCATCACTCCGAGACGGTGAAAGACTATAAACGTAAATATTATATCTCAGGTTTGTTTCCTTCATTGATGTGTTCATTTTGCAACAAAAGTTGGTTGAATAAAGTTTACAGTTTAAACCGACATCCCAAATTGTAAAGAAAAAGTATCTTTCCAGTGTCTGTGAGGCTCAGCAGAAACACAGGACAATCTTCAGTTGTCAAGAAACATGACAAATACAGTGATCCGATTCATGAATGAACGTGGGCCCCCAAACTACGGGGGATTCCTGGGAGAAATGACAGTACGGGAGGCGGGCGGGCGATAGGTCTGAAATAAGGGAGAGTCCCGGGAAAAACTGCAGTGTTGGCATGTCCAAACTATTCCACAAAGGGCCGTGTGGCTGCAGGTTTTTCTTCCAACCAATCAAGAGCAGCAGTCTGACCAATCAGCCATCTGAAGACGTAGATCAGCTGATGAAATGAATCAAGTCTGGTGTGCTGCTGCTTGGTTGGAGGAAAAACACGCAGCCACACAGCCCTTCGTGTAATAGTTTGGACATGCCTGAGCGGTGCGAGTTTCTGCGAGGTGCATACTTCTCCGCAACAGCGGCACAAACGATCGGCACCATTTCGGGTCCAATCGAAGCAAATGGGGGCTGGGAGACGTCATCCCCGAAATGAAAATGTGTAATAACTTAAAACTAAAGCAACACAAACGAAATTTTAACGGCACAAACGAACGGCCAGCTTCAAGCATTTGTTTCACTAAGTTAACATTTCGGCCTCCATCTTTGTGACTGACAAAAAAGCCACCTCTTCTGCTGCCTTCCCCTCCCCCACCTCCCGCTCGGCTTCTCCCGTCTCCCTCCACCTCCCTTCCTCTCTTATATATATTTTGTTTTATTCAGTAGTTTCAAGATGTTCACTATTCATCTACAATTTAAAACATGTAAGAGTAATACAAAATGTTCGAATGAGACATTGTCCAAACTTTTGGACTGGTAGCCTACTGTGTGAAGTCTATGTTCCCGTTAATGTTTTAAACTAGGCCATAGAATGATAGAAACTTGCTCTCCCTGAGGGTATATGACCAAATATTACCTGTAGAGTAATTTTAAACAGTATCATAATTATTATTGATTATTAAACAATTGGTTTACAAAAAAATAACAATGGTTTTACTTACTTTTGTTGTCATAGTCTGTTTTTTTCACTTGTCTCGCTGTCGCTGTTAGAGTCTCCGGTCGCCTCCTCGTCTCAAAAAGAAATGGCTGTTCTCGCGCTCTCCGTTGAGATCATCGACGTCACTATCTGCTACGGGATTGGCTGTCATCATCTGCCACGGGATTGGCTGTCTGTCAACAGTGATGTTTTTGGAAGCTTGTTGCTTTGAATGATTTATTGCCTAAACTACTTTGTAGTATGATTTAGTACGATCTAACTCTGAATGTAGTCAAATCCATGAAAATATACTCTCTGTTTGAAAAGAGTTGGAGTCAGAATTCAGTGTAAAATCGTGTGTCAGTAAATTAAATCTGTGTGTTACTGCGGCATCTCTTAAATTTTTTACACTGAACTGATAGAAGCCAGATTCTCCATCGCGATAGCTACAGGCTGTGCACTAACCTCTGGATTTCGCTTTATGTTGCCAGGTAAGAACATAAAATACTTTCTCTAAAGGTTGTTTTTTGATACAGATGTTAACTTTTCTCTACCAGTGTATGGTCTGTTTCCATTCAATGATTAGTCACTATAACACAGGAAGCTAACGTTAGCTGCTATTGTGAAACTAGCCACCCTAACCCGATAAAAGTGGCTTATCTTTAATTTCAGCACGCTTAATTTGTATTTGATAGCAAAATTGATTGTCATCATAAATGTTGGAGTTACCTTATTCCCAACAAACTGTTGATTAAGGTTAGTGATCCGAGTTTAATGTCAGGCCAACTGCTGTGATTGCTCAGTAGTTTGCTCCTTGTGTAAATCTTGACAGTAAAGCACGTTGTCTTTACAAACTAAAACAATTCAGGCTCAAAAATGTCTGCTTACACTTGAAAATGTGGTTGAATTACTCTTCAGTTACTGGTAAGTTGTTTTTATATTTCTTCCAGTAATCAACAAATTTTGTCTTCCAGCTCAACTTCTGATTGAAGGTGAGCTCAGACTGAATGATGAATCTGGTACTGAGATTGACGCAGACGTGTTTGATGAGCTCATAAAGTCGGGGACTCGAAACTTTGAGGTTGGATACCGCCAGTGTGACGCTACAGGTAAAGGCTATCAAACAAATACTTACAAGGACTGACTCAGCTTTGGTTTGATATATGTGCAATTATATTTCTGTTTATATAGAAGAAACACTTTCTCATTCCAGTTTATTTTCAGGAAAACTGCTCTGAACAAAGTATTTTAATGGTAAGATGAAGCCTCTTGAAGCATTGAAGCTTTCCATCCAATTACTTGCCTCCTGGACCGAAGCTTCATGATTGCGCTTCATTTGCTCTTTTGCGCCATCAAGTGGACAGTAAATGTAAAACAGGCAGAGTGATAAACCAAAGACACCCCGAGACTTTGGTGCACGAAGCTTTGAATTGAATGAATAAATGGCTGTGAGGCCATGTGTTTGTAATACAATACAAAAATGATAAAGTTAGTCAGTGTCAAATAGGGAAAAGAGGACATAAATTATGGAGAGGGTTGTGATGTGAATGTGCTTGTGATACTTAGTTTGTTGTTTGTACTTTTGTAATGGGGAAAACATATAAAACATAAACATTTCATTAGTTTTTATTTAAAAACAACTTTTCAACAAGTCTCGAGTCTATGGCTTGTGAGTGGGGGAGGACTCCATTGCGTTACGCTGCCTGTCAAATCATCCGCCAAACCTGCTAACTGTTTCTTGAATCAGTCACGTGGTACAGCCGGGTAGCGAGGCTTCAGACTTCATCATTTTAGACCCCTCCCCTACATGAAGCAAGCCTCGATACGCGCTTCGCGGAAATACCTCGGCACTGAAGGACACATCACTACTCATAAGCAACCTGTAAATGGACATTGTGGCTGGGATACTGATATGTCTGCTCTCCTGCAGCTGTTACATCTCCTACCCCCTACATCAAGAGGTTACAAAAAAGGCAAGATAAGCTCAGCACAGGCATCTTGTGAGATTTGTCAAGGTATGTACCATTGGCTTTTCATACCACCAAATCATTTGTTCTAGAGTTGTGAGAAGTTTTTCTTACAGGTTGATGTGGGCTTGCAACGATTGATTTTAAACTTAAGTGTGTTACATTCATTATGTTTTTCTGAATCTGTTTTGTTCAAACAGCAAGGAGCCAGCCTCACAACATTCCTGGACAAAGCAAGACAACCCTTTCTTCTTGGCATCAGAGGTGAGAAGAAGATCCAAAATTTTTTCATTCTTGTGGACAAAAAAGCGATCCCATGTCATGCTCAGACTTGATGTGCTGTTCAAAACTCACTATGTCTTCAGCCTCTCGTATGATGAAGCTTTTCCCAGTTTCTACACTTTCATTCAAACCACGGTTTACCACATTGATGTTGGAAATGCAAAAGAGAGCCAAAGAGCCCAACTACGAGATCATGAAAATGCCACCAGATTATGAAAGTAAGAGCACAGTTAGATAAACATTACAAGCGTGTTTACAAGTTCTGCACAAAAAGCGCATCGTGGAAATTGTTCAAATGGCTGTTACAATGGCGTCAGGTTACAAAGCTGAAAAAACTGTCTGAGAATCTTCAATTTTGCTTTGTAAAATGCGACACAAAAAAGTTGGTTTAAAGAATAGTTAAAATGCCTCCTGATTGCAAAGGTCTTGAAAAAGTTGAAGTACGATGTTCTTTGTTTGTAAAAAGCACCACAAAAGCTGTTCAGGTCTTTGCCAGCATTTAAAACTTATTTATGGATTAGATCAAGCAAAAAACTTGAGTTTTAAATGCAGAGAGCAAGGATCTCTTTCATCTTTTTGTACTTACAACAGCTTCTCAATACTGGCCAACAGCACCTCAGTACTGGCCATAGGCAACACCATGATAAGCAGGCCCTTACTAACCAGGGAGTCACCACAAAAGTATATTCTGAGGTGCAACTTTTAAGTGATCAGCCCACAACGTCAGCACATCCATGTTGCACGTTCCTCCCGCTGTCACGACAAACTCACTTGATAGAATGTGTGGATCTATTGTTTCACACTTACAAGCTTCTGGTACGTCTCAAAGCACTGTCCACACAATAGTTTGTTCGATGGAGGAACTTGTTTGTGATCTTCAAAATCCAGCACAAGAAGCAGTTCTCCAAATATTTTCTTCTGAAGAAAAGGAGTATGAAATGTATAAAAGAAATTTAGCACAACTCAAGTCAATGAGATCATCCTCTTTCAGCATTTAATACAGAGAAAAGGAGTCAAAAATATTATGACGAAAAATGGGAGATAGTTGAACTAGTTAAAGAATTTGTCCTTGGTGTGAAACCGGATACACAGAGAGATATAATTATAGGTGTCTGTAGTCAAGTTCCTGTAACAGACAAGTACGTGCATGTACCTTAATGTACACTAATTGGGTACACTAATATCCATTTTCAAAAACTGAGCTTAAAGAGACCTTTTTGCTAGAGAAACTGAATGGAAAGGGGACTTACAGAGATATTAATGATGGGTTATATTTCCAAAATCATTCCCTGTTCTCATGACAGAAACACACTCTACAAATTTTGCTTTATTACGGCAACTATGAAACTGCCAACCCTTTAGGTTCAGCGAAAGGAGTCCAACTTCCTATTGAAGAACCATAATTTGGCTCTGTAATACAAGTAACAGGAGATAATCTGGCTTCAAATAGCTTGCTTCAATGATTGTTGAATCATTCAGCTCAACACTTTGGTGTAGGTTTTGATAGACAAATAAGAATGAAATTCAGTCTTTATTTAACAAAGATGACCCTGGGTTAATTCTGCTCTCCAGAGAGCTGCACATTGATTATTGTAATGCACTAAGAGAGGATCCTACTCTACCTGCCATTAATGGTGTTAAAAAAAACTTGTGTGCTCAATTCATTCGAATATTTCCATAGCACTGACAATTTTGCAGTTGATATCATGCATGATCTCTGAGAGGGTATTGTACAGTATGAACTGAAATTGGTTTTTCAGTACATGATTAAAAATGGCTACATCTCTTTAAATACGAGGTCCCAAGGGACCACTTTTGGCGAGTCCTCTATTTTAAAAAACATTATGTGCAGGGGCGGTAGCAAACAAAATCCCACTTCTACTACTACTACAACTACTACTAGTATCACTTTAACTAGTACCTTCACTTCTACCTCAACTACTATTGCTACTGTTAATACTTTCTTTACTGCTATTACATCTACCACTAGCTCTACTACTTTGACACTTACTTTGTCTGTTCTAAAACTACTACTACTATTAATATGACTACTAATATCACTACTACCACTACTTATAATCATACACATACTAGAACTACAACTTAACCTTAAGCCACATGTCACTTTTCTGTGTTTAAGGAAATTTTCCTCTTCATACAAAATTTGTGCAATTGTAGACATTTGTCAGCCTCTTTCAGCATGAATGCAATTTCAATTTATGTAGTACATACATAGTATATGTCCTTCAACCATTTTCACAATTATTCAACTTCTATTTCTTTTTCACCCCTTCAACAGCTTTCACATTTATACCTTTCTCCATGTTTTATTAGCAGTTTAGCATTGCTTTTTCAGCTTTCAGCACTCAGCATTTCCACGCATTTTCTGCAAGGAAATGCAATTTTTCTAGTTAAGTGGAAATGCTGATTAAGCATTTCCACTTAACTTATTCTCCTGTTTCTTTATTATTAAACTTATTATTATTATTCTTCCGTCCCTTTTTTGGACCGCTTCTCCTCCTTCAAACTTTGTCCGATTTCAACCGTTCAAACTTTAAACTATTCCACTCCTTCAGGACATGATGGCGTCTATTTTTTTTCTTTCTACCCTTTATACTTTTTGTTTTTTTTAACTTTTTGTGCAAAAATTTTAACATTGAAGTCAATGGGGAAATCTTCAACTTCTTCCTTTCATTCTTCCACCTTCTAGACCTTATAACTTCAGCATACTTTCACCTAGAGAAACTGTACTCAGTTTTTTGATATCTTCTACAGTTCTTCCACAATTTAGCTTTAAGCAACTTGTGGTTTTCAGCAAATTTCAGGCTTTATAATGGGTGTGTATTGGAGAGTTTAGAGTGATGATGTCATCAGCTAGAGTGCAGACCTCGTCTCTGATCGACAGAACCTCGCTCGAATATATCGCTCCCACGCCCACAAATCTCACTCCACTGACACAAATAATACATCAAAATGGAGGTATATGTGTCCTGCTTCTCACAAAAGAGGTTTCCAATCATTAAATCGTACCCCTTGGCCAGCAGGTGACCAACTGTCCAAAAAAGGCGGAAATCTCTCCCATTGACGGTAATGTTATTTTTCTCCAAGAAAATCCGGATCATCGCTCAGGCTCAGACTTTTTTAACTCGCTGTTGTGGCCTCATTTTTCGAAGTACAGACATGAAAAACACATCATTGTGTTCATGAAGGACGGAGGATTCGTACGATGTTCTTATTTTCATTCTGGGACTTAAGGAAATCACGCTATGTGAAGAAGTTCACAGGCTGAAATTCACTGCAGTTCAGCACCTCTCAGTCAAACAGTAGGTTAGTGATTTGCCTTTGATCTCACAGCTGTTTAGGATGCAGTCATTAACGAGACACACACACACACACACACACGCACACACATTCTTGTACTTGTTGCTTTTTGAGGTCCACCTTGCAGTTCAGCTGCTTGTACACACAGTTAATATGTGTCTGCTTCGCCACCTATCTCCACCCACAAACTTTGAGCTACAGAAACCATTCTGGGCTTCAAAAATTCAGCTCATTGAAGATATTATGGGGTGTTTTGAGGATTGTGATAATAAATTGTATTAATGTGTTTAGCAGAGTCTTGTGTTCTCACAAGCTCCTTATCAGGAATAGATACAGAGGATGAGCGTCAGGGCCTACTTGGAGTCCTGTTTCCTTAGCTTCAAGCCTTCTTTCTCCTGCTATAGGTATGCATCCAAGGTCCCCATGGCAACCAATTAGTGCACCTGGAGACACACAGCTGACTGGAAAGCTGCCTCTAATGGCCATATGAGACACATGAAGCCAGGCTCAGCACACATAGCACTGGGGATGACACTTAAAACCCTTTCCTAGAGCGCTTGAAAAAACCTAAGCCCCTATCTCCTCACATGACCTTTGACCTAGAGAAACCATCCAGGGCTTTAAAATTTAAGCTCATTGAGGACATTATGGGGTGTATTCAGGATTTATATACATTTAGATTTTTCACATTTTAAAGTCACTCAGTGATGAGTTATCATTTAATTTTTCAAACTAATTTGAACTGATTCAAACTGATTCAAACCTTTCTAATACTTAAAAAATTAAACTTATGCCACTTCTCACCTTCCTGCCTTTTAAGGCAATTTCCTTCTTCATTCAAACTTTGTGCAATTTTAGACATTTTTCTAGCCTCTTTCAGCATGAATAAAATTTCTTTTTAATAAGTTTAATAATAAAGAAACGGGAGAATAACAATAAGTGGAAATGCTTAATCAGCATTTCCACTTAATAATAAGTTTAATAAAGAAACAGGAGAATAACAATAAGTGGAAATGCCTATCAGCATTTCCACTTAACTAGAAAATGCAATTTCTGAAGAAATTGCGAGTGGGATTGCTTCAGTTGAAATTGCTATCGCTAAGCTGCTATTGCGAATGGCTAATTTTTAAAAATATGTGAAAGGTAAAAAGGTATGAAGTATCAGGAAGATTTGAATCAATTGGAATAAACTCAATTGAATGAATTGAATAATGCATGAATAATAATTTTGAAATTTCCACGTTTGAAAATTAAAATGATTAAAAACCTTGAAGTTTGGGAAAGGCTTGAAGAATCAATAAGGTTTGAATCAGTTTAAATGAGCTGTAATTTGTTTGAAAGAACTGAATAATGCAGTAAGAGTAAAAAATGATTTAAAACTGGAAAATTAAAAGGTTACAAATCTGGAAGAAAAAGAGGTTTGAAGAATCAAAACGGTTTAAATCAGTTTGAAGGAAATAAATTAGTTTGAAGAACTAAATAATGCATTTTCAATGAATGATTGAAAAAGGAGGGAAATATAAATGAATAAAAATCCTTATTAGACCCCATAATGTCCTCAATGAGCTGAATTTATTAAGCCCTGGTTTGTTTCTTTAGCTCAAGGTTTGTGCCAAGAGATAAATGACAAATTTCGTCAAATAACTCTATTGAAGGGTTTTA